AGCTAAAGCCAAGTTAGCAATTGCGGAGTGTTTCCATGTTGATACCACCAAATCGCTAAGGGTGCTTTGTTCCTTACTTCTACAAAGGATTCTGATGGTACCATCATGAATGAGGGAGCTGAGAAAGGGGTATTCTATTGACAACCCTTCTGTGATACCTTGTGCTGTGGTGAATCGCGTTGTGTATATTGTAGAAACAAACCTCAACATCAGAAATGCCAGTCCTATTGCAGAAAGTCCAAATAGAGTTATGGGAAGAAACAAAGTAAAAGGCAAGTATTCACTAGCCTTCTGCGCAATGTCCTTTAATATTAAATTATCCTGTCACCTCAATGTATCATTGAAGCAGTTTTAATGCTCACGTTTTCTCTCAGTACACCAAAAAGAATTGACTGAAATTCTTGTAGCTGTAGGTCCACACCGCTGACAACCTTAATTGCAGTAATAGGTTTTCTTCCTCATTTATAGCTTACCAGCCGGCTTTGCCGGCTGATGCCTGCACTCCTTCTTCTGAGATAAGGAATGGATTTGCTGAGCGGGCCCGACTTCGCCGCGCTTATCTTTCTCCTCATCGGCTTTTCTTTTACACAGATAGCCAACAATCTTTGACCAATATGTTAAGACGAGTAGCTCGTTTATAGTGCACCTAGATGATTCTTTTATACAGTGAGGTTGTGAACAGTCACACATTGCCTTATAAGTGATACAAAAAATGGATTTTATTCCGCGACTCTGCTAGCGGTTGATCCTTCTCTAATTCACCTATCGCTTTCATTGGCGCTTTTATTACCACACTTGTGATGAGTTTCTACTAACACGCACTCTATGCTTCCCCTCCCGTTCTCTCCCTCACTAATCCCACCCACGCCACATTATACCCTCCCACTCGACTTGCCCCATCCTGCCGCTGCACGTGCTCAAGGTCCACCTGCAACGCGAGCAGGCTCGTGCAATGGTTTGGAGTGCACGGTTCTCTTATAATAGTCGGCGTCCCAGCTGTCGCCGGCGTCCTTTCTGCTCCCATGTCATTGGAATAAAGCTAGCTTAGCGGTCGTACATGATGTCTTTACTAATAAGCAGTGAGGAATGAGTTCTATTGGAATCATTGAGATCGTGATACTTGAGTCATATCAATCGTATTGTTGTTGTGAGCTATGAAGCGGATTTTCCTATGTTACCTTGACACTTTTAGCTCCTATCACTTCCGTACCCGCCAAAATATTCCCGTCCCGTATCACTATCATGTAACCCTAATCACCTCTCATATCTAAGGACCCACTGTTGCTGCAAGCTGCGTTACGAATTCGATGACCCTCCAGTTCCGAGACCGCTTATCGTATCTTATCATCTGCTACCACTTTCTGTCTCCCGCCAATAATGTTTCCGTCCTACACCCTATATTACCTCACGGATCTGAGGTCCCACTGTTGCTGTAACCTGCGTTACGAATTGTTGACCCTCCCCTTCCGAGGCCTCTTATCGGATCTTATCAACTGCTATCACTGTCACCCGCCAATAAGGTTCCCACATCCCATATCACCTCTCTGGTCCAAGGACCCACTGTTCCTGTGACCCGCACTATGAATTTGGTAGTCCTCCCCTTCTATGCCCATTATCATATCTCATCAACTGATATCACATCCTGTCACCTACCAATATAGTTTTCGTCCCGCCCCCTATTTCACTGCCCGCAACCAACGTTCTACTGCTGCTGTGGATGGCACTATGGATTGGGTGACATCCCCTTTGGACGCCTGTTATCGAATCTTATCAACTGATTCACATTCTGTTACCCTCCACTGGTGTTCCCGTCACACCCCCTCCATCATTTCCTGGAACCAAAGTCTCACTGCCACTGGGACAGGTGTTATGAATTTCGTGACACCAACAGACAAACTTAGCGGATATATGTAGGGATAGTGGCAGAGTGTATTACAATCAAAACATTGGATTGATACATCACCAACTGGTTTCGCCACCGGCTAGCGGTCGTATACTCTCCCTACACTGACGTGTTTGAGCCCGTGGAGCATTTTGCGGACGGACAGACAAAATAGTACATAGATACTGACAAACCGACACACAGAGTTAGTGGTTTATATAATGTAAGGATAGCAAAGAGATACTTACTTCACCCAGTACTCTTCTATAGACGCTTAACTCCGATGACATCGCTTTCTTTTGTGAGCTCATTTGACTTATTGATGTGTCAATCTGAACGGGTGAAAGTAGTCAGAGAGAGGACGCAACAAAATGCGTTTTCCTCACTTCTCCTCGTATTGAAACTAGGGTTTGCCGAATTTCATCCAGCTTTGCAGTCATCGGGCGTACACCATTACTCAAGAAGTCTCTCTGGAAAGGAAAATTCTCATGTTGTACTGTAGACAGAAGGACGATCAGCGAAACAAGCGATTCGAGATGGTATTGAATTATTCCATCTTCATAGATAGGATAACGATTTTTTTTGACCAATTCATTAGAAGATCTGAGCTTCTGATATCCCCGAAGCTTGATCCTAACGGAAAATTTGTGTCAGCCCTTAATTTTTTGTTGGGAATTCCACCGATCTCGAAGAGCTTAAGTTGTGGGAGGGGTTTTCGACCAGCATTTGACGTGAATCAAACAAAATATGAGTAAAGAGCCATAAATTGTTGAACTGTAGAAATCATTTCGCCCTGTGTCCGTCCGCCTTCATGAAACTGCATGTGACTGATCGAACACTTTTTTATCCACTATATTCAGCCTTGCCCTCACATCACTTCATCCTCCTCCTACTCCTATTGAAACTTATTTCTACATTCACAACACCTATCAGGGAGAAGTTTTTGCAGAAAATTTTTGAGTCGAACTCATGTAGCTTTTGCGCCCATGTGTAAAGTGCAATTTGTGGGTGCGTGAATTTCTTCATAGTTTTTATGAACAGTGAGGATGTAATAGGTTGGCGGGAAAGTTCTGTCACTTTTTCAAATTGGGCTTCCTTTCCATAGAGAGGTGTGTAAGATCAAAATCGTACAGCAATGCTACTGCGGGGTCCTTGCCTGTTTTTGAGCACCTCATGGATGCCGTCGCTTCACAATGCAGGGAGGCGCGATACAAAATTGGACATCGTCTCAATCTTTGCTTGAACTCAGACGTTTCGAGGTTTTCACGTAATTTCTCGTCCACGTAATGATTGATTAGGGGAGGCAACTCGCAGTTAGAAGGCAAGCAACTCGCAGTTAGAAGGCAATGTCTGTGCTACACCACTGCAAAGGGAGAGCCATCCAGCTCTATTGCAGAAGGCTAGAACTTTTTTTGGAAATTCGCTGCACTATCAGAAGCATTTGGAGGGGTCGGTGGCGATGGTCGCGCATACGTTCCTGTCCATATTGCAGAAGAAGAGGGAGCAGGAATCAGCCGAGTGGTACTAATAGAAACACCACTCTTTGATGTATAAGTAAGTGCTCTCATTATCGTGCACCCCTCTTCAAGTAATGGGCAAATATTTTAAATTCGAAAAAGTGACAGAACTTCCCCACCAACCTGATAATATTTCAAGGGACTCACAAGGCTGCGGCTGCTGCTGATTATGATATCTCGTGCAGGTGCCCGCTCAGCTGCGGAGCTTGTGAATAGAGGGATTGTAGCGTGAAGCTGTTTGCGAAACTTTTCCACTGTATGAGAAATCTGGAACGGTTTTCGAAGTCCGACAGCTGTGTTCATTTCATTATACAGAAGTTTTCTTGTCGAACGAGCTTGTTTGCCGCCCAATCAGTTAACGATTTATCGGCATTTTAGATAAACAGCATACAGCGTTGTTCGCGTGTGCGTCCACCTCCAAAAAGTTGATATCGCCTTAACGCTACCGAAATGTAAGCCGCTCCTTTCCTTTTCTGTGAGGGCTCTCTTTGAGATTCCTCCGAGGCATTGTTGACTACACAAAACATAGAAGAGTTCAGCGAGTAGAAGAACCCGATATGAACGCCGATCTAGCCGTGTGCACTTGTTGAACACCTCACTTTTCACCGTGATTCTACTTGAAGGCAACAGGCACGATAACTCCCTGAGGCACTTAAGATAAACACGCCGATAATCAAAAAATTCCGCGCTTCTGGGAAGGCCTTCAGTAAAAAGCGGTCTCTGTGCGTCTTAGCAGAGCTTAACGTACCAATCTATACTCCATCGAACAAGACGCCCACACAAATGGACGCATTGATCAGCAATTGATCACCATCGAATCAGCTGTTTTCACCAACTTGCGGCGGATAACGCTTTTTTCCTTTTTCCAGTATTCCTTCTGACGAGCCTCGGTTTTCAATGATAACGGACATATAATTTTTCTCGCTTGAGTGCGAAATGTTCTTGCAAGCAGTACCCATCTTGAAGTTTTGGACTGTTTCACTTTTCTGGCTATTTCACATTGTTTCCTGCAAATAGCCGACAGCCGCTTCGTAAAAATGTCAATAGTGCGTCCCCACTTCTGTTGACATCTGCTGATATTGCCGTGAAGTTAGTTATTGCTTGTAATAACGTGTTTTTCGTAATTCCTGTGCAGTCGTGGTGATTTTTTCACATTGATTCTTGACCACTTATTTGGCTGACCTTTCACAGGCGAGACCGTTCACTTCCTGATCGGAGCAGTTAACAAGAGCTCCAATTTAGCTGCTTTAAGCCGTTTCGACCCGTTTTTGCGTCACTGTCACTCGTGCCTGCCGTTTTTGCAGAGAACCAGATTACCGTGCCCAGTGCCTTCCAGGGTACTTATGTGTTACAGTGCACACTGCCTTCCAAAACAAAACGTTTTTCATCAGTAGGGCGAGGCATTTGCATGATTAAACTTTTCAGCACTCCATAATACCTCAAGTATAACTGCCGTTATGTGAGAGGTATGTAGGGCCTGTGAAAAATTTGGTACAGAAAAAAGGAATATATTGTAATCGCCAATGTCAAACCAAAAAAACTGAGCCAAATTGTCCACTCTCGAGATTAGAAAAAACTCCTTAATTTAATGGCATAACATATCACCATAGTTTGAGCTGCTGTACTACCTCCAAATCCAGTACCTTAGCAATTCCCTCTGGATTAATTCTCTCCTTTATATTGCTGAGCACGGCCGATATGTTAACAGTAAAGCTGTTCAAATTCAACACCAGTGCTTTCTCGCCTTGGTAGAAATTGCAGCGGAGATTTTCACCGAATTCTTCAACAAACGTACTGATATCTAAATATGTATTTATATTCACAACTAACAAAATTATTTCATTATTGATAGCAGAAGAATTATTGGTTGTAGATAAGATCTGACAGGTACGAATAACATGATCCGCAGCGTGACTCGCATTTTGGATGGGGGGGGGGAGGGAGAAACGTAGCATGAGTGTCTGATAGCTGCAATCGCTATAACGTGGCAGCTGTACGAGTCCGCAGTGCTACTGTCGCCACTGCACTCGCTGCAAGGCGTGTCATACTGCGTTGGAAGTTTGCGATTTATCACTGCCCACGCTTGTGAAACGCGAGTTCACATGCACATCTGCATCTGTGTCTGCACGACCCGTTAAAACGGTGACTAGATCGTCGCATCATGTGGTGACCCAAGGCTAGTCTAAGCTGGCCTATGGTACAACTTCTTCACCACTGTATGCAATGGCAGATAGTGTCAATATTGAAGAATTCATCTCGCCTTACATGTACAGAAGAGGCACCAATATTCGCGCACTTCGAAGCAGAGTCTTTACATACGAATGTAAATAGTAACACAGTGCAAGTTGTCTTGTCCCTTTTTGAGAAACATCAGAACGAGGTTTCTTCCATGAGGTTTTCTACAAACGAAACTGATCTAGCAGTTTGGGATGCTAAATGTTTTCTTTTTAACAAGGAAAAACGAGGTCCAGTCGTGGTTAATTGTAATAATTCAGGTGTTAGCAGTCATCTTCACAAAAGCTGCAGCCTTTTTTGCTCCGCAACGACAAAATAACGCGTGATGTAAGCCACGTCGTGAAGAACTCTTCACTATCTCGTCATCCATCCCTACCTGCACTTGATCCCTCCTCACACCGTCAGGAAATCATGAAAGCCGTTGGAGAATCCACCAGCTTTGCCTACCTGACGACGACTTGTCTAATTGACTTGGGAGTGAATCTAATCCATGTTTCATATGTTCAATGCTGCTAGAAAATAAATATGTTCCGATGCTGGCCAGTGTGAGACAGCACACGAAAGACATTAGTGCAGCGGTAATCGTACCCGTGCTTGGTAGCTTCTGAAAGAAGAAACGAACTGCTTAAGGTTACATCTTCTTCTGCTGCTTCCAAAGAAATACAGAGTGACAAAGATGCTCTGGCAGATTTTCACTATGCTTGGGCAATATAATATATCGTGCATGCAGTCAAATCAGCAAATTTAATTGAATGAGAATATTCATTTGATCAAAAACGATAGCATTGTACAAAAATTTATAACATGTAGTCAAAATTGCCTAGTTTGACATCAACATATTTGTTCTTCGCTTTTCAAACTGTCCGGCAATGGCCGCCCAGTTCTTGAGTAATTTTATTCGAAGCACGCAATAACACCACTTTAGGTGATCTACCATTGCGCATCGGGTTCCTAGGATACTGCACTCCGGGTAAGACTAAACGGAATGATTTATTACCTATAGGCGAGCGCAAAGGGGGATTGAGTAGACTTCTTTGCCTCTATGCCCTAGAAATAGCTCAAACTCTTCTACCGGTCGAGCAGACTCCGGCTGAGGCTGTGACTGAAAAATGTCTGCCACCGACAGGTTTCAGTACATTACCTTCTGGTGCCTTCTCTGTGGAGCTGATGACAGTGGTTGTGGAGAAGCCCGATCGCGAAACGCTTTTTGAGGTGAAGTGTACGTTTCTCGGCATTGTCCCCATATTTCTACTCCAAAAACACTGAGCTATTTTGCTGAGACTTGGCCTACAGAGGTTGTTCAGTGCCCTGGTATATTCATTTTGGCTTTGCTAAGGTTGAGCCCGATGATGGAGAAATCACTAATGTTTCAGTCTCAGCCTTAGCAGAATGCTAAATTGCGCCGGTGTCGAAAATGGATATCATTTTGAGGGCCATTGAGGAATCATTCAGCCCGCGTGAGTTTTCATCAGATTCACTGGAAAAAAAGTGGCTACTCCAGTGAAAAAAAGATGCCATATTTATAATGAGGATGTCAACCAACTCCCGTGTACAAGTTTCCATCGATTTTGGTGAGGAAGGTGATGACGCCAAAGTGGCGTCTATTGGCGACAAGTGGCGCCAGCGCCACATATGTTTGTGTTTTGCTCTTCTGTTTATGTAGCGAACAGCTACGCTCGGTTAATAACCTCGGTTAATAACTGGTAAGTAAGTAGTGTTACTCTCCTTCATCAGGACGCACGTGCTCGCTTATCATGTCCACAATCAGTCCACAATGTTTCATGAACCATAGTAGAGCATTCGTAATGGATACACACTCGTTTCGCTTGTTCATGCTTGGATTTCGTGCTAAAATTCGAAAGGCTTTCAGCGCTTTTCTAGCTGGCATCTTCGCCTCATATGCCGAAATCGTGCACTCGATGTTGAAATCGTTGCCATGATGCTACTCTATTCTATGCCTCCCCCCCCCCCGGTGTTGACACGCTATTGCGCTTTATGATCCTTAATACGGACTGATAAGACCCTTCACGTTTTTCCAATGTATGTTGAGTTAGATGTCCTGCATTCAATCTGACAAATGACGCCCGTTACGGCACAATCGCCTGTCTTAACATTAGGACACGCAGCGCAGTTTTTTGGCGGACACTGCTTTTTGTGAAGCCTGTTCCTCACAAGTGACGTTTGATGTTGTCATTTGGAATGTTGGCCAAGACGAAATCATCGCACAACTGTATTAGAACAATGCATCGTTGGATGGCAGCAGATACCTTGTGAGAGGTAAATGGCACACATAGAGGAAAACTATTTTAGCGCGAAAAGTCGTTGTCATTTTATGCGTGTTTCTAATAACAGCACGTTTCACAGCAGAAGGGTGTGCAGACGTAGCAGAATGTTCTTCGAGTTACTTTTTTGATACCACTTCACATGGATCATGCCGCTGGACACTTTGTTCTTTGGGACTTCTCGTGTAAGCTTAATGTACGGTGACTGCTCATTCATTATGTGAAAACACCCGTCCATTTCGGACTGTGTTGATATTTCTTTGTAGCACTCATCTATACATCTGCAGTACATCAACGGCAGGCACTACGGTACCGGCTTTCAGTTCTGCTCATGAAGGAGATTGCAAGTACTGGCAATAATCGTTGCTTCATAGTCAGACCCATGATTTGAGAACAGAAAGAACCTGATCACTCGAAGATGTTACAATCGCAACAGTCCTACGAGACTCATTATGCGCATTTTGCCAAGACTAGAAGTCTCGATGTTATCACCATATGTATCCAACATTTCGGATAGCGCATGCAAAGTCTGCTTATTTTGGACGTTGGTGTAGAAAGAAGTAACGTCGAATCCGTTACGCAACCTGAATCGAAACGCAAGTTACGTATTCGTTCAAGGAATCGATTCGTGTTGTGCAGGTGCGAGAGAATCATAAGCAACAATTGACTTATAAGATTGTTCAAAAATTGAGATTCTGTCGGATGGTCTGCCTACGCAGCTGATGATTGGCCGTATTTTATACTTTTCCGCGACGTTCAAAGTAAATAGTTAAGTGCGAGTTTGTGGGTCTTCAGCAAGCTCTAAAAGACGGGGCAACTTGAAGAATCAACACTGAGACTACCGACAAATCTTTCATCCAAACCTGCAAACCTGCCTTTCCTCATCCAGACATGGTTGATTTGTTGCATTGTGATGAAATGCAAATTCCGCTAGAAAAACGCTGAAAGCCTCTTGAATTTCAGCACAGAATCATCTACTACCTTCCAGGGAACATCGCGGATTGCATACATGACAAGCGAACACGTGCGTTCCGTACGTCCTGATGAACGAGAGTGGATTTCATGATTGATTGACTGACTAAAAAAGTCATGACTGATTAACTTACTTACTAACTACTAACCAAGCGTAGCTCTTCGCCACACTCTTGTGGTGGGACACGGTGAGCTTATGTTTCAACTTTTGGGTATTTTTGCACACTCCTGAGATGACGTAATAAATGCTCGGGCGGAGGGGATAGCGTGCAGTTCTCAAGTCTGAGTTAAGTTGAATTAAAGTTTTCACCTACAAAGCTCGTTGGCAAAAACAGAACAACAAATCGTCGTCGCCGAGGTTTCAAGCTGAGAGGAGTTGGAATCTACAAATGTTTGTGTTATTCGTGTGTCTGGAGCAAAGTTTCAGCGAAAAAATTCTCTTCTTAAAGTAGTAATAGCGCCGACAAGACGACGTATCCGGCAGACTTCGTACAAGCTTTCCGTCTTCACTCAACGACTGTAGGCAAGTATTTTGCGACTGCATAGTTTCAGCTTTCCCACAAGGATATCCGCACACTTTTCGGCTGATTCGAACTTGCTTTGTATGGATACAACCGGATTGCGACGATTTCGATAGCGCACCTTGTTGACAGTCTCTAGGGCGATCACATTTTGGACGACTCCCAGGGCAGTTTACAGTGTTCCCCCCTATATGGAACGATTCACGATATTATACATACACGAACCTACATTTCAAGCTAGCCTTACAAACATTGTTGGAAGTCTTCATTCCTGTCTCGCAACTCCAAAAGTGGTACATTGATTTAAAGAGAACTGAAGGTTTGTCGAAAATGATTAAATAGATATTCATTATTGAACATGGGCATGAACTCATGTACAACTGCGGAAAAAAAACATGGACTAATCCAAAAAAAACTGGGATTCTCTATCAAATTACCGAATCATCATGGATAAAAATAAGGTATGCCTGGAGGGACTGTTTTCAAAGCAGTGAAAACGACTCTGAGCAAACAAAAAAGCACGTGAAATCTACGTTGCGGCATCCAAGGCCAGCATCAGGATGGCATGGCCGAGTAAGAGCCCTCACCTCAACCCCATCGGGCACCTTTGAGGTGGCTCGAAGCATGAGTCAAAGGAGAGACGACTACAAACACGAATGAATAGTTCCATGTACTTTAGACAGCTTCCGCGATAAGTGACATGGATAGTCGATGTTCAATTATAAAACAGTAGCTGATAAGTAATTCCCCAGAAAAGAAAAAAAGCAAGAAGAGTCCTCAAGAACACCATAAACAAAATCGCCCCTCTGCAGTCACACCTCCATGCGGTCTCTGTGCAAGCCCTGGCTCACAAATCGCTTTATCACATCTCCCAGTAGTGGATATCATCGAATGCGAACAAACGAAAAAAAAACAGAGAGGAAAAACTCTTGAAAAGAAAAAGAAACATTTAAAAAGAAGGCGTCCGAATTTAGGGTTACGGTAGTGTGCATATCTTAGTGTAGTGAACTGCATCGAGCTTTTGCACCACGAAAATTGGGTCGATTTTTACGCGTTGCGAGATATGTTGGAGTTGACTGTATGTGCTCCTGATTAATAAAATGTAATAAAGGAAAGGAGAGCAAAATCATTTATGGGCATGAGCGCTGTCAGTGAAAAGGCCATGCAATTCCGATTAATGCCCGCCACCACAACAAAGAACAACTGAGCTGCCCTCCGTCAGAGGGCATCTAGTAAGTGGGCGCTCCATCTGGGCGGGCGTCAGAACTAGAACTTTCAGCGGCTGTAGCTCGCTCCTCGCTCGCTGTGGAGTCGAGAGAGTGGGATAGACTCTAGCTTGGGCGCTGTAGCTTGGGGGCCTACTTACACAAGGAAGGACGACCAGTACTACTCGAGCGCGGGGGCTATCTTTAAGGAACTCGGTGCCGAATATCCCTCGTCCGTGGAGTCGATTCCACGGATGACAAAGGCCCTAATAGAGCGAAAGTAAGCGAACCAAATCCAGAGCACTTAGTAGTTTTTCCTTGTTGGATTCCCTTTATCTGCCTATCTTTCCACTGTATTGCTGTTGAATAATTGCTCCAGAACTGTTCAAAACATGATTTTGTGGCTTGTTCCGAAATTTTTTTCCGCAGCTGTGATTCTTTAGAGAGAATAAAGACCGTAATGACCACTCAAAAAACGCACGAACACGAAATTGCCAGAACTTTTTTGTCACCCTGTAAACATAATTTTGTTTTGGCCGAATGCTAACGCTTTCTGTGCTTGCTTTGAGCTTCGATGCTACTGTTTGC